CGGGGAGCGTGGGGGGGCGCCGGGACGCGAGCGGGATCCGCCTTGCGCTTCCAGCCCTTAGGCTGTTACTTGAAGGATGCACGACCCTCTGCTCTTCCCTTCTTCCTGCGCGCTTGGCACGCCAGCTGTGGACAGATGTGCCGTGCCGAGTGTTGTTGCTGTGGCAGGGGGACAAGGAAGCGAAAGGCGCTTTGTGCTCTCTCTACAGGAAAACTCGACGTTGGCGTGGACGCCGTCCAGCACGCGGTAGAAGGACTGACCTATCTTCTTACCGAAAGCTCCAAGCTCATGGTGAGGGTGCCTGCGTGTGACGAATTCGGGGATGCGCTCGAGCCGTCTTCTCCGCACTTAGAGCTCTGTGTGTACTGATGAATGGGGAAAGCCTGGTTCTGATGACCTTTCTTTTAATTAAAAAAGCAGGTGTCTAATGCTGTTCTCATTGAAACAGCACCTGCGTGGGCGACTGAATTTGGGTTCAGTGTCTGAAGCCAAAACTGGGCAACATTTTACTAGCGTACAGCAAGGAAACACAGCGATTTGGGGGCGTAGAGGCATGCTGCAGGACGGTGCTGTCTGAATAGCAAACCCTGAGCGAAGGTGGTGTCAGTGCAGGACGTGTGCCGTGCTAACCCCCGTGAGGTGCCCTTACGCTTGTCTGATGTGGTAGGTTTGAGGGTGTTTTCAGCTCCTGACATCGGCAGTTTGGGTGGGTGCAAGCAGTTACTAAAAGCACAATAGCTGGGTAATTACTGTTTCCATTGGAAAGGCCTTTTACTGTTGACACAGTGAATATTTGAACGACAGACATGGAGAAGGGGGACAGAGACAAGTAACTGCCAATTAAACTCAAGCAGGCATTGCTCTGAAGAGCAGGTGGGGAAGGGACTGACCTACTGCAGAACCTTCCCTCGAAACACGGCGATCTGGGTGACAGATCCGCCGCCGCGTGTTACCGCCGAGTATCACAGTGTGTTTACAGCACAGATGCATCGTAAAGGTGTGACGTTTTCCGTTCAGGAAGGAACGGCTTCCACGAGGAACCAGCTCCGCCAGTTCAGCCCAAAAGCTTCACCAGGGGGAATTGGCGTCTTGGGGCCGCTGCGCGTTAGTGATGTGAGCCTTGGAGCTGCACCCAGGGCTCACGACACGTGCCAACGTTTAGATCATCCCAGAGCATTTGTCGTTCCGCAGGGATGTTACGTTAACGTGCTGGTGATAGGGTGATGATGGAAGTACTACTCCATTGCGGCAAAGCTCAGGTGCCGTTGCGTTTTGTTCCCCAATAGGAAGGCTTAAACACAAGGATGTGGAGTGGCTTTCTTTGGGTGATGAGGGAAGTACTACTCCATCTCAGCAAAGCTCGGGTGCCGTTGCGTGTTGCGTTTTGTTCCCCAATAGGAAGGCTTAAACACAAGGATGTGGAGTGGCTTTCTTTAAAGCCTCACCCTGATGTAAAGTGGTTCGGGAGGTCGTGCACATCAGCACACGTAAAGTGCTTACAAGCTGGGCGATGTGGTTTGTCCTGCCGTAGAACCGGCCCCGCGCGTTCCCGCAGGAAAAGAGCCGCCCCATACCACCTGTAACGTTCCCTACAGTTTGTTTCTCAGCAAACAAGGATTACAACACAGTTCCGGATTAAGGCCTTAACTGATGTTCCTAGATTTCTGAGACAGACTTCCAAGATTCCATTCATGTTCTGGGATTCCCGGATGAACTGAACAGACTATTGCTCCAGCTGTACCTTGAGAACCGGAAGGAGATCAGAAGCATTCTCAGCGAGCTGGCCCCAAAGCTTCCCAGCTACCACAATCTCGAGTGGAGGCTGGATGTGCAGGTACCTCCATCGTGGTTTCAGTGCTCTCTGTGTTACTGTACAGTTTTTAACATCATAAACAATGAATTTATGTCATTTCAAAGTAATTGAGGCTGCGGCTTCGCGTGTATTTAAAACTGCCGTGATTTGGTTACTGCACCGAAGGTAGCGACGGGGTGTGGGGTGACGCAAAGCATTTGTTGCTTTGTGGAAACTGAGGTCAGGGCTCCGTTGGTGGTGTAACAACGTGCGCATACACCGAACATACTCAGTCTTAATTACTGCCTAATTTTCAGAAATACTGCGAAAGCTTTGATTAAAGTGGCTTAGTGCTCCTCCTGATAAAACCAACTAAGAGACACGTGGTCAGTCCTGGCAGGCCCTGCCCGGCTGCTGCGGGGTGTGAAGGTCAGCCGTGATAACCCTCCTCTCTCTTCCCCCTTCCTGTTTCATCCGCTCCTGCAGCTTGCCAGCAGGAGTCTGAGACAGCAGATTAAGCCTGTGGTGACACTGAAGCTGCACCTTAATCACAGCGAAGATCGCACCGCCCGGGTGTTGCAAACCGACCCTTCTACCCTCCTCCACCTCATCCAGCAGCTGGAACAGGCGCTGGGGGAGATGAAGACAAATCACTGCAGGAGGATCGTGCGCAACATGAAGTAGCGTGGGCCGGCGGCTGCCGGCTTAGTGCGCGGCTCGGACACGGCTGCAGGCGGTGCCCGCAGGTGCTCGCCGAGGAAGAATAAACGTCTGGATCAGATGAGATGCTCTCCTGCGCCGGGACCTTGGGCCCGTATTACCGGCTGCGTCTGCCGCGCTGGCTCGGCACCTGCTCGACGGGAGATGGGTAACTGCGGACGCT